TGTTCAAAACACCCTTTTTTTTTGTTAATTAATTTATTTGATAAGGCTCAACCGAATTAACTTTACAGAGCCGAGGATTCTTGGTCACTATACAATACATTTTAAAGCTATAGTCAAAAGGTACAACACAATAAACACTTTATCTTCCGCTATCCAAAAAGCCTCCGCCATCAGAACTGGATCCGCTTCCAGTAGTTTCATTGTATGGCAAATTGTTGTACGCCAACGAGGGTCAAAGCGCGTCCATTGCAGCAATGGACGCAAAACGTGGTCAGTACTCACACACTCATCACGAAACGGTTGCTTTCCAAAGTCGACGACGCATCGACCGAAAGAACTGCTGATGAAGAACAATGAGGAGGACCACACAATGGTTGCTGCCGAGAAAACAGACGATCGCGTAGCACACATCGAGAGTGGTCTGCTTTTGTCGACAGCCGAGTGAACACTGAAAACACCCTTTTTGGCGTTCTCTTTTTCACCACTAGGGGTTGAATCGATTGTTTCTATTAAAAACGAGGGGGTGTCTCTATCTACGATGCCGGAAAGATTTTGTGTTGCTGTGGTTATCTGCGCGCATACAGAGTAGATAGAAAGAAGATTGATGACGATTCTGAAGATTGAATGATGCATGCAGATGATGCACGGTGCAAGTAGATGTGAGAAGTGAAAGAATATTTTTCGTAGATTGATTTGCTAGTGTGAGCTTTTTTGAGCATCTGGAATCGAGATTTAGATGTGACACCCCCCTCGATTAAAAAGGCGTATTATGATCTAGAAACTCTAAGTTTAATACCACCTCAAAAAAATGTATATGCATAATTCAAAAGACTAAGAATAACATTTCAACTGCGTAAGCTCTGAACCATTTGGCGATTTTTTTAACTTTTGGTTAAAATTTGACAGATGGAAAGATATCGATTAACCCTGCTATCCAAGCATGGTTATTTCTGACAGACAAGAAGTTAAATTTTGACGACCGTGGCTCGAAAACCGGTCGATCGACAGCACGGGAATTTAGAACATAAGAAATAACTTTCAAAATGTTAAATTTAACTCGGCAAATGGTTCACAGCCTTAGTTTAGCTATAAATCAGTTTAGATAAGGCCGGAACAACTCACAAGTTTTTCTTTTGTCACTCGATGCTCGTACCAGTCAACCTTGGAGGCAAACCAGCCTCAGGCTGAAAGGCTCCTAAATAAAGATAAATCAATCAATCAATCTAACCAGTCAGGGCCCCCCCGGGCAATAAAAAATAAACCAAAAAATAAAACGTTTTAAATACATTTTACATTACATCTAAAACGTATATTTCAAACGCTAACATTTTTTCTTAGCCTTCGCTTTAGCCTTATACTTCTTTGAAACCGTGATTTTTGACACTAATTGGGATCAAAGCAATTGATTTTTGGGTATTGCTAAATTCCGGATAAACCATCAAGCGGAATACCTCAAACGAAACGTTCTGTTTTCGATAGTTCCTCCCTATACAAATATAACATGGCAGAACAGGAAACCCAAATTGATACTTAAAATACGTCCTTTTTGAATTTAAACTCAGTTTTCAACAATTGTGCGTATTCCAAAAAAATCTAACTAGACGTGTGCATTCAGGAAGGTCTATTCAACAAAATTCAAGCGTAATATTCAAAGTAAGGAACCAAAATCCATCTTGGTTGAACATAAAAACCATTTTTTTACAAAAAATCGTAGTTTTGTTTTCAATTTAAACCTGGCTTTGTGTGTTTGTAAAAAATAATCATCACATATGAATTCAGCAAGGTCAATTCTATAAAATTTAAGCATAAATTTCAAAGGACGGTATCATAATCCATCTTTGCAGAAAAAGGTAACCCAAATTTCTAAAACAAAATTATTTCGAATAACAAACCCGGTTCAACTTTCACGTATGGATTGAGCAAGGTCAATTTTATTAAATACAAGCCAATTTTTCAAAGATTGAAATTTAGATCGAATGCAAAAATCTGGTGACTACGGTGTAACAATGTCGGATAACGACTCAATGAAAATGGTTCTTGGTAGTGATCCGACTGGAACAAGACGAAGATGTGCACAACGAACAAGAGGGATCGATCAGATTGAAGGCGGCTTACCTAGTGAGTTTCCAAACAAGACTAGGAATGATGTTCGATGAAATCCGTTTTCAAAAACTGAATCTGATCCGATTTCAAGGACCTGGCATGCCGTACTGGTCAAGTGCCAATTTATGTAAAAAATCTTTGAAATAGTAAGGTGATATTCTACAACATAATAAACTCTAGCAAAGCGAGTATCCATACCCAAAATAATTAGCGATACTAAAAAAAATAAACATACACTGAAAGTTTTTTTTTTTGTGATATTCCAACATTTGCTTGACAAAAGAAAAACTTGAGATTTGTTCTGACCTAAGTGGAAAATAGTAAAATAAGATCACTCCCGATGGATATTTGCAAGATAGGCATAAACATATACGTTTATTTGATATGTAAAAAAAAGCTTAAAATTTTTGACTGCCTAAGCTGAGTGTGAAAGCACTGCACTATTCAATCCATTGCTCTGTGCAGACCGTTTGTATCAAACGGTAAAGGCCGGCGCACAATAGATACGTTTTCGGGTTTTTGAACAGATAATGCATGGGCAAACTGTCAAAAAACCTGAAAACGTATCTATTGTGCGTCGGCTTCAAAGGACGAGGCAATGAAAGAGCCAACAAGAACATTCAGTCACTCACGAGCAGGCGACGCACACCGCTTGCCTTCGTCACACAGCATATAATTGAGTAATTTTTCCATATAAAATGTACGCTCAGTCCTCGGCGCCTAATACATAGGTGCCACAGTCGGAAGAAGTGTTAGTTTGTTTACTAAAATGAACCATGAACATTTTGTTATGGCATGTTTGCTATAAGAAATGCGCCTCGTGTTTATTAGCGAATTTCACATCAAAGATTGATTAATTGAGTAGGAAATCAGTTTGGCACGGCATTTGTGACCAGCATACACCTTCCGGTAGTATGAAACAGGTCAAAAACTGTTCAAATCCGCAGATAAAAATTTTTGTTTTGAATTTCTGTATAGCAAAATAGTGAACTTTTCGTGAACATTAACGGCAAAGAACTCACCAATACTGGGAGACCGTGAGTTCCTGCCCACCTGTCATAAAACCGTCTTGCCCTCAGTCATTCAAAACAAATATTGGGTACGTCAGTCCTCAGTCATTCAAAACAAATATCACGGCAGAATAAACGTGTTGACTGAGCTACTGACTGAGTGCTCGGCTGTCAGTGACTCGTTTACCTCTCAATCATTCAAACTCTCACGAGGCAGTGAATGATGAGCCAGATGGCCGTTCATATTCATATCAAAATGACTCAATGAACCTCACTGTTTTGCACACTGTGTAAAAAATGTAATATCGATGTAAACAATCGGTTTGGTTGACGTTTCCTCTCATAATCGCAAAGCGCACTCTACATTTTTTGGTGCATCGAAGCAGCCTATCGTAAAGAACGTCTTCAAAAAGATATTAAGAGTTCTAAAACTTTGACATAGTCAAAAGTATACTGTAACGATGCGTTAAAAAACACGAAAATGCACTGTCCGAGAAAGCTGAACTACACGCTACTTGAAAACTACCCAAAAATGGGTAGAGTCTACCCAGTTCGGTCAAAACTGAACCTACCCAAAAATGGGTAAACATGCATTTACCCAAATCTGGGTAAACGTACTTGCGAAAAAAAACTGGGTAACGGTTACTCAGATGTCGACATTTGATAACTGCGTAAACTTTACCCATTTAATAGAAATTTGTTGATATGACCGCTGCAGCAGCTCTATCAAACATAATCTCACCCGACTATAGCTCATCTCTCGGCTAATCTAGCCTGTTAATGTTTGTCGAAAAAATGTATAACTATGAAATAAGGCATTGTAGTTCCCAAATAAGGATATCATTACAAATGCTAACCATTTAATGAGATTTGATTTAGAATAAACTTTTTAAATAAGAACAACAACAAAGATTTGTCATCAAGAAAAGCGGCACAGAATGTCAGGATAACCTAGAATTATAAGAAAGTTTAAAGTTCACAAACTAACAATATACTTACTAACTATAGCTGCCGGTAGCATTCGCAATACAAACAGTTCCGTAGCTGTAACATTTTTAGCGTCAGAATTGTATATTTTGAACAGTAAACATTTCACTGGATATTTTGAACAGTAAACAAGCTCCGCCATGTCGAAGTTTGGGAAAATTTCACTCAGAACCATTTACCCAGAATATGGGTAGATTCTACTCATCAGAACAAAGCTAGTTTACCCAGATTTTGACAACTCCTTCCTGGCTACAAGACTGGGTGCCATTAACCCAGTTACTGGGTAGATTCAAAATAGCGTGTACAATCTATCAGACGACCCTTATAAAGTATTTTTTGGTTTGTTCTACTATGTTAAGTTATAAAGAAGAACATGACACACAGAATCGAGCAACTTTTCATTTAATAAAATATAGTTTTATATGGATTTGGAAGGAAATTTTGGTTTACAGTTTATTTTCGATAGATTCCTTATACCAGCTGGAAGAGGAAAAATACCCCTACTTGATGACGCTTTTCGAACGTTGATAAAACAATTCAAAATTGACACAGGTGTTCTCATTTGTATATGAGTCAATTTCATTTTTGTGCATCGTGTTTTGGAAATTTCATGAATTTTAATTAAATAAACGCAACTTTAGTTTGATATGGAAGTAATTTCTTATATAGTTGAGATTTTTTAATCATTGCATTCAGTAACTTTGATTGAAGATTTGTATCACAAAAAAAAAACCGTGTGTCACTTCTCCTCGAACTACCATTGCCACATTCCACCCTGTCTGATCGAAGCAAATTTTCAAAATAGATAAGAGAAGGGAATTGAAATGTCAAATGTCAAATCACTGCCCTCCCCCATTATGTCTACAACCACACCGCGGAAAATAAATTGAGATATCCTACCTTGTCTACAGGCATTGATGGGCACGCTCTACACAGATTCCAAAATGATCCGATCATGAAGGCTGGTTTTCTTGGATAAACAGGTCACACACCGAAGAAAAAATATCGCACGCACACCCCCTTCGGCAGAGCTATAGCGCACCTCGAGGGCTTCGAGAGTGAGAGTGGTGCGGATAAGGTGGATGAAAGATTTTCCGACCGGAGCTAGGAGGTCGGGGATTCGGTCTATCCAACCGGTTCGTTACACGTCTAGGATGGTAGGCCTGTTGTTGTTGTTGCTGTTGCTGTTGCTGTTGTTGGACGAAATCCGTCTGTCGCTCCTTTCCCCGTGCGATTACGTATATGCTCTGTGTGTAAAGTGCAAAGCTATTAGGTACCTCGTCAGCCGAGCCGATGATAATCCGAGTTTATCGATTTTCCTCGCTCGTGGAAGCCCTCCTCAATCAAACACCGGAGTAGGCGTTCAGCGAACTATTAAATGAGATCATTTTCCACACACTTTTTTTCCGCGTTCTGCTGGTTGCATGTGCTGCGAACTCTTTCGAAATAATCCTTCCTAATTTCACAACTAGGTACGACCGACTGCGACGGAAAAATTCCTTCAAGCACTTTTTTTTTTGCTGCTACTCACACTGACACGCACTTTTTTTTTGCCCTGCTTCTATAATATTCACCACATTTCGCCCTGTTTGCTTCCCACCTGTGTCCACCAGGGACTATCGCACTCACTGAGGCGGGGATTTCCCTGCTTTGCTGGCTCCCTTTTCGACTTGGCAGCAGACAGAAATACCCAATCGATAAATTTTCTTCCGAACACTTCAGTGAACCACTTTTCTTCGTCTTCCGCTTACTTCTTCCGTTTGCTCTCGCTCTAGCGCACAGAAGTGGCTATCTCACTATTAACGATGGACATCCAGCCTGGAAAAGAAGAAGAAAATTGCCCGAAAAATCCTTGAATACTGCCGAACTGGCAGAACGAAAGTCACTTTCCAGATCCTAAAAGTCCTTCGGAAAACTCGGAAAACCACCCAAATCCAGCAGCCAAACTGTGCACTTTTTTTCCACCCCTCTGCAGATGTATCGATTGCGGATTTGGATTTGAAAAAGGTGACTGATTTCCGACTGAACCAACCAGGCACGACTGACGACGCTGATGTTGCACGGCTAATGGCTGGAGACAAATTGAACGCAGCAAAAGGACCGATCCCGATGGCTGGCCTATGGCAAACCCATACACAAACGGCGACGACGACGACCATCCGACGGGGATAAAATCCTATCCCTTTTTATCCTGACCATGCGACGCATGCATGCAGTAGACTGTGGCCCAGAATATAGGCGAGCGATTGTAAGGGGGCGATTGCCGAAGGGTGGAAAATCGATACCCCTTATATGGAGTTGGGTGTTTGTTTGTGCGGCGCATGAGCTTTTATCTGACGTTTTTCTCGCTTCGTTCTTTTTTGGTTGTTGTTTGCCGGTTGCGTCAAACTATGTAGGGTGAAAGTATGGCACAGTGATTTGTTGTAGTGATTTGGTTGGGAGGGTGGACAATTTTGGATAATGAAACTAATGAACGTTATGCATTCGTTTGAAGATTCATGAAGTGTAAATAGTTTCGATTGCTGCACTGTCCAAATTTGCTCTCAAAAAAACAAATCAATACAAATGATGCAATGTCGTTCTTGATTACCAACTGTACATTTCAATACTTCGCTACTGATATGCAAAAGCGTAAAATGGTTTCAAAGTTTGACTTTAAAAGCTCGCAGAGTAGTTCTTGGATTCCATGCCAGGTGGTACATGTGAAATCATCGCACGCTGATGCGAGCTAGCAGAAAACCGACTTCAATGACCGATAAAAAACGTGTAAATTTTCTTTAAAAAAAAACCGCGTAGATTCCAGAATCCGCGTAAAAAACACGTAAAATCTGAAATTCACGTAAAATATGCCTCGTAATTTATGAAAACCGTGTAGATCACAAAATAAAAAGAGACTACAGTGTGTTCAAGATTTATCTCGTTTCCACAGACGTTTGATTATCTTGACAATTATACATACAAAGTACGTTTATATCTAGATGTGTTATACATGCTCTAGATATTCTTAGGATGCTATTGACTTACCATTTCATATAAGAAAAATATCTAAACTGAAACTTAAATGATTTAAGATTTATTTAGATGTCAATGAAGTTATCCAGTACCATACCATCCAACATGTACTACTTTCTAGTACAGGAAGCCATCTGGGATGGGATTTGACAATCGGGTAGCGATTTCGAGCCAATTTTCTGTCAAATCCGAGCCAGTTGCTTATTGGTCGATTTGACAGTAGCAATCGTTGAAAAATGAAGACAGACAGAACACACCGATCTAGCTGTCAGTGATGCCGAAATCCACATTGACGTGAAAGATATTGATGTTATTTGGGAATTTTATTTGCGAAACGAAAGTGGAATGAACTGCGTGCTTTGAAGTGATCGATACTGTTCATTTTTTTTATTGTGAATATGAAGTACAAAGCGCTAAACTGTGGTAGAAACTCAATATCAAATCCAACTTTAAAGCTTTTCCGATTTCCGAAAGACCAAATAATTCGTTTAGCTTGGATTAGGTTTTGCGTAAAAAATGAAGACGATGTTGAACTTTTTGAAGTTAAAGAGAGTTCAAGAGTTTGCAGCGTAAGTTGGAACATAGATTACGAAATCCTCAATGTGCACGTATTGATATTCTAGGTTCATGTCCCAACTGGGAAAAAATGTGGATGGTTCAACAGCTGTTCCAACATTGCGAGAGCCGAACGAGAATGAAGATTGTGATTCTGAAATTGAATATATACAGTGAGAAACGTAATTTTACCGATCAAATGAATGAAAGTGAAAAGCTCCTCGATGTAGGTTGAGATACGAATTATATGAAATTAATTCCACAAACACGACACAAACCAGCGGTCCGGAAATGAAATCTTTTGAGAAATGTAATAAGTTCGAACCTATTCGAGAATTGGGTTCTTTAATTTTGTAAAATATATCGGTTTTTATATATCATCTGAAAGAACTTCGTTTTCTGAGCACAGCGATATTTTTTTCGAACCCACACACTTTCATCTCGATTTTCAAATCAAGATTTAAAGCAAAATAGTTACTTCACTGTTTGACACTTCACTGACAAACTGACAGCTTGCTTTTATACAAAGTGACACCGAAGAGTGCCAATAAGTTGATTTTTGCAAATGTAATCGTACTTATTTAAAGTAGTTCCAATGTATCGAAATTGATGAAATTTTGGGTTTGGGTTCCATTGTTAATGCAGATTACGAACATGCAATTCAATTGACGCTCGAAGACAGTTTAAGACATTTTTAACCCGAAGTGTGTTTTTTTATTCCAAATTTAAAAAAAAACGTAACATATTTATTTCATACGATTTGTAACAGGTGAAAGACACAATTTTTTAAACTGAAATCCAGAAATCGAAAAAAAGTGGAGCACAGTATTTTTCGTGAAGATCAGCTGTACCTTCGTGAAGATCAGCTGTACCTTCTCTCCAAACATGTCCGTAAAGTGCAGAAGTGGTCCTGTGAAACAATCGTCAAGGAGGGTATGATGAACTCATCAAACGTGGATATCCACTCCCATCAACGAGAACTCGTCTTCGTCACATAAGATAGGATTCGGCGCTGGTAAAATATCACATATGGGTCATTCCAGCTCAAGTGGGTATATCACCTGTGGTCGATGTCACTGATTTGAGCCAAACTTGGCCAAAGTGCTTATTTTGGCATTCTGAACAAACGTCTTTTTTGATTTTGCTCTGAAGTACTTAGGGTGTAGATTTTCTAGATTTTAAAAAGTTACATCTTTCAGAAGAGATTAATCCACAACCAAATAAGCTATTTGTAATCTTTAGAACGTCAATTTGAAGGTTTTTTAATTTAAATTCACATAGGTGTACCCACATTTTGTTTTTGTTATAGTAACTACAGTAAACAGGCTGATTCAATACAGTTTGGTAAACTCTTCTACTTCCCTCCGCTTCGGTCAGTTGTGCCAATTTGGTCATGGCACATTTCGAGTATGAGAGAGTAATTGCAGTTAGATCAAAAGTGCCTGAGAAAACTGCAAGTACTTTCGCAGATTACCCGAAGTTGCGATAGTGAAGGTATGATCACAGACAAGCAGACGTAACAATCTTAAAACGTTCATCGAAATCGTTTTAACGGTAAATTTAAATGTTTCTTAATTGGTAGTACCAGAGTTGCGACCTATCACAATCACGATCGCCAAACAGCTGATGGTAGTAACGCTTTGTACATTCCTATCAATGTGCTCGTCGAAGCTCTCTCCATGACCATCCATCAAGTTGACGAAAGAAGTTAAAAGCAACTGATGAATGTCGTCTTCTGTTGTGATCCATCACCGATCTGGTCATTCCCGACAATCACGACACTCATCTGTGCTCGTTTTGAAGCAGTTGCTGCTTTGCTTGCTTATGTGAGTGTGTTGGTGAGTGAACCCAACAGCTTCCGTTTCATGTTGCCTGCTTTGTTTGTAACTCACACTGTCGTGCCTGCCGAGATGAACCTGGAATGCGTAGGCATTGTTTTCATTTTCTCCTGTCGTTTCGCTTTTTCTCATGATCGTACTGCAGAATTCTTCACTGTTTTCGTTGTGATTTTCATCATCAGCAGCGAGTGTAACGTTTTGCTTGTGAGCAGCGACCATTACTGGTGATTTTTGTTTGCCATGGCTCTAACTCTCACTGCGTGACAAAACGATCTGTCAGCAATAGTCGGTTGATGCGAAGACGAGTGTCACGTGAGTGTCATGATATTTTGCATCACTGGGTAGTACCGCCACTTGTAGTGCACATTATCAATTACCAAGCATTTGACGTTTACACACTACAATCATCTGTTGAGTGTATTGCTCATGAAAGTATATACGATAGATGGCGTTCAATGTGTTGTGTATGTATGGCTGTGATATAACATCGAGGTAACGTTAGGATAAAATCAAAACATTGAGAAATATAACGCATCACTTTCAGAAATACTTCACTTCGCAACCGATGAACCATTCTGACGGCCATATGAGTACCCAAATAACAATATAGTCGCAATATACCTTGTATATTCTTACTTTGCTTGAGTATGGTTAGTTGGGGAATCTGATGAAACTGTCACTTCTTGAAACTGATCCTTTCGTATTTCTTTCATTCTCATTTCGCACACGGAGCGCTCGGTGGACCAGCGACTTTGGACGTGAGCCTAGTCCCAGATCATCATGGCAATTCAATAACATATGGTGAACATCAAACCGACCAAAAAAGGCTGAATCGTATTAGAACCAACCAACCAAGGACGATCTACGGAAGGAAATTGCCGGTCAAGCACGGAATGAAACACTAAGCGTTAGAGAAAAAGTCCAAGGGATTCCAAAGGAAGCAATTAATGGCTGCGGAAGAGCAGAATATGGTGAGAGCTGTCCAATTTTTTGTTTACCAATTAAATATCAAAATTAAACTAAATACATGCCAGGGTTGGAAAGAACCTAGAAGCGTGTATGTATCACCAATATATATTTGATAACGGTCATGCATACATGCGGGGCTTATTGTGAGTGAAAGTAACCTCGGAATGGGCGTGACTCTCCAGAAATTCTGAAATGGGATGCTGGATCTGCAATAGAGCTATCACCTTCTAACTCCCGGACTAAAACTGTCTACAATGACCATAAATGCGACATTGTAGAGAGAGTTCTTCCATAATAACACTGCCGGCCAGTGGGGGTTAGAGGGAATACACACACACACACACACACACACACACACACACACACACACACACACACTTTGGAAAACTCTTCTACTTAATGTGTTATCAAGGGCAAATGATTTGGACAAATAGTTTTTGAGATATGACCAGATGAGTGAGTGGTAGTTTTGAGCTTTTTTGGTGGAAAATCAATGCTATTTAATATATTTTTTTTTTCTTTGAATTCCTTCACGCTGATGGAACAATATTAGTTTTTATATTATTTTTCACATATTTTGGGCAGGTTTCTCTATAAATGAAATCATAACAAACTCATTTATATACTTCTGTCCATAATTTAATTG